CTAATAGATAATTTATTCTCTTACAAATGGTCATTGCAAGTCCAAACATATATTCATATAGTCACAAGGGTGTGTGTGTGTGTGTGTGTGTGCGCGCATGCACTAGTGTACGTAAGAGCATGAATCAGTGTTCAGAAGTTTTAGATGATTAGTTTTGTTGTTAGAAAATGGTGGCGTGTCAATCTGAATAATTTTATTTTCAACAGGTTGACATGATGAAAGAAGCATTAGAAAAACTTCAGCTCAATCTAGTAGAGATGAAAGATGAAAACGCAACTTTAGATGGTGGAGACGTCTTATTCACAGGTATCTTCATCCTCACTTTCTCCTATCCAAAACTATTTCTAATACCTGGCTTGTATTCGCTTAACTGTAGGGTTTTTGTTGTTGTTGTTGTTGTTGTTTTTTAATTACCAAAGTAAAAATGCTAACTGTAGGGAATTTGGAAAATACTGGAAAGCACAAAAGAGAATAAAATGAAAATGACCTTTCATTCCAAGATAATCATTTCAACATTTGGGTGTATGTCCTTTTAGTAATTTTGTATGCATGCCATATTTGTGTATTTTTTACAAAAATGTTATCAGCGTGTACCTATCATTTTGTAGGTTGCATCTACTATATTCTACAATGTGAGCTTGTGGGTTGTATAGTTTTGCATTGTATGTTATTGTATCTGGTTTGTATTTGAAAGACTCTTAATTCAAGAGGTGTCATTTACAAATAATTTTCTTGCCCAGACAGCAAGATGAGTTTAAATAATTTTCAATGCAAATTGATTTGGCTTCAATGCCAGATGAATAATATCAGAACTCAACCAAATACAAAAAGCTGATATTATGGATCTAACTAGAATCAGTTTTTATAGTGGGCATAATATTGCTGCTAAAGAAACAGTAATTGTAGCATTTAACCTTTCCAGCTCTTTATGATCGTATTATTGTTTTGCAAAAGTCATGTGCCAAAATTTGGATCCCCAGATTCATTCTAGTTATACTGATAAGCAAGAAAATTGATAACAATTTTTAATTTATAGTGAGAGTTTATTTTCCCTGAATGTCAGAGAAAAAATACCTGTTTCATAGATGTAGCCCTACCAGCCAGGGCTGGTTACCAGGGATTTGGGAATGTAGCCCACGGTCCCCTGAAAACATGAAACTTCTTAGAAGTCTAATATTTTAGCTGATGTGAATTTTAGATTGAATCCCTTGTATATAGAGAAAATATAAGCCATCTTCATTTTAATATAAACATAATGCTCTGTATTACTTACATCTTGCTATCATTAATGTTCTTGGAGGAGGAAAGTTGTTTATCCTGTGACATTTGAGTAGCTCCTGGCTCAGTGTCACATATCTATGGGTGGGGCCACTGTGTTGCTGTGCTCTAGGCAGCGCCATTCTTATCACAAGCTCATGAATAGTACCCCCTGGGGTTGTGCACTGCACAACCTGGGCTACAGGGTGCACACCCATTGAGCCCTAAGAACACAGAACAAGGAGTCAAGGAGGCCTACACTGCATTCTCAGCTCTGGCCGTGTCCACGCAGACTCAGGCATTCTTTCAAATCTGCCTAATAAGTTCCCCTTAGAATATTCTCTGTGTCTCCCAATGATGGCACTTCATTCTTTTGGGCAGCACAGAACAACAGCCTGTTTCTCTTAGAAAATAGGCTTTTGTGAAAAGCTAGATGTGTAAATCATGCTTCCTTACAATAAAACTCTTTTTTACCGAACACAGCTATATAATAAATAACTTCTTGTAAGCAGGTACTGATAATATTTGAAGTAGGGTTTATTTTTTTTTTAAGATTTTATTTACTTATTTGACAGAGAGACACAGTGAGAGAGGGAACATAAGCAGGGGGAGTGGGAGAGGGAGAAGCAGACTCCCTGATGCGGGGCTCGATCCCAGGACCCTGGGATCATGGCCCAAGCCGGAGGCAGACACTTAACGACTGAGCCACCCAGGTGCCCCGAAGTATGGTTTAAAACAAGCTGTGTTCACAGCCCTTTAGCTATCTTAACAGTTGAGCTGAACAGATTCCCTAAAATCTTCACATGTTATGGCACAGCTTTCACTATAGAAACTATAGGAACCTCTTCCTTTGGTCAGAGATCTTTGCATAGCATTTCAATCCTGATGTTCTTGCCCCAACTCCTTATTAGGTACCTAAGTACTGAGGCTTGCCATTGACACTATCTGCAAGCTTATTTTGGTACTATTCCATCCTTAAATTAATATCTTGAAAGTTATTTTATTCAAAACTGAGATTGTGTTAGGATATCTGCTTGGCACCTCATCCATGCCTGATGCCTGGTCCTGCCTTCTATTTCCTACTTCTCAATTTCTTTCTTTCAATTCTTTTAAATTCTGGTAAAATATATATAACATGAAATTTGCCATCTTAACCATTTTCCCAAAGTATATAGTTCAAGTGGCACTAACCACATTCACCGTATTGTGCCACCAACACCACTCAATTTTTTGATTCAGCAGAGTTGCGGAAGAAACAAAATCTGTAGCACTTTCCACAGCTTTTGTAGTGCTTTTCAGCTGCTTCATTAGCAGTTGATCGGGAAGTGGGCAGAAGGAAAGCAGCTATCCAACTCCAGTTCCCCTGGGAATCTTGTGAGTCAGGCAAGCAGCTCCTGGCAGAAATTATTTCAATCCAAATAGGCATCAGCATACCTCTACTTTCATTTTTTTTATTTTTGTGAACTATGGAACAAATAATAAAAGTTATCAATGTCTATGTACAGTTTAAAGACCAAGGATAAAATGAGCACCTGGTGTCTGCCACCTGGCTTTAAGAAATAGAAATACTGCCAGGACCATAGGAGCCCCACTCCCAACCTCTCTCTCCTCGCAGCCTGAGGTAACCACTGTCCTGCATTTTGTGTTAATCACTGCCTTGTCTTTCTTTGAGTTTTACCTCAATCTATGCATTCCTAAACTATAAATTCCTAAAAAAAAATAACAAAAAAGTTGTTTAGTTTTGCTTGTCTTATAACTTTATGTGATTAGGATCATACTATATGAACTATTCTGTGATTTGTCTGCTTTTGATCTAACTTGGTGAGTGTAGCTATAGTTTTTTGTCTTCACCGCTGTGTGGTATTCCATGGTTAAGAATTACCACAATGCATTTATTCATTCTACTGCTGTTGGATAGTTGAGTGTTTTCCAGTTTTTTTCAATTATCTTCAGTGCTGCTGTGGACATTCTTGTGTCTCCTGGGAATGTGCATAAGAGTTTCTCTAAAGTAAACAGCTAGAAATGGAGTTTCAGGTGATAAACTCTTTCTGCTCCAGTGAAATGTATATGATTTTCTTCTTGAATCTATTGATGTGGTTAATTGCACTAATTGATCTTTCTGATATTTGATCAGTCTTGCATCCCTGGGATGAAGTCCAACTCCATTTTGATATACTTTCTTTTTACTACAGTGCTAGATTTAGTTTGTTAATTTTTTTCTTAAGACTTTTGTTTTTGTGGCCAGTAATTTTTCTTGCTTGCTTTCCTTCTCTGGCTTTGATAAAAGAATTATGGTAACCTCATAACATATATTAGGGAATATTTCCTATGTTTCTATTCTCTAGAATCAGTACTATTTGAATTGTGCATTCCTTGAACTTTGGTAGAACTTACCTGTAAACAGGCTCTGCAGGCCAGGTACTTTCTCTGTGGGGAGATTTTAAACTGATTCAATTCCTTTAATGGTTGCATGACTATTGAGTGTTTTCTGAGTCAGTTTTTGTGAGTTCTGTTTTCTAATATTTTATCTAAGTTTTCGAAATGTTGAGTATAAACTACTTCATATCTTCTTAATATCTGTTTTAAGCTTCATAGCATTATAGCTATGTCCCTTTATCTTTCGTAATGTTTATTTGTGCCTTCTCTTTTTTCTTTTGTGCCAGAGATCTGTCAATTTTATTCATCTTTTCAAAGAACCAGTTTTGGGCTTTGTTGAATTCTCTCTCTTTTTTATATTTCCTTTCCTTTTCCTGTTTCTAGCTAATTCTTTCCCTCAAATTTCTTTGTTTTTATTCTGTTCTTTTTTTCTTACATTTCAAGTTGGAACTTTGTCTATTTAATATTGAACCTTTTCTCATCTTAAGGCAAGCAGTTAAAGCTGTATAACTTTCCCTTCAAGTACTGCTTTAGCTGAATCCTTTGTGTTTTGATATATATTTGTTATCATTAGTTTTAAATGTTTTCTGATTTCCATTATGATTTATTCTTTGATTCATTCGTGGATAATAATATTATTTAAAAAACATATTGGTCATTATTGTAAGTTGCTGGGGACACCATCTTACTACTCTGATAGTTAATAAGTGAAGGAAAGATTCAGGCATTTAGCTATCTTTCCTTTATGAATTCTATTTCAAGTAAACCAAATGCTTGATTGAGAAAGTTTTTTTTTTAAAGAAGTCTAGCCAATAAATTTAGATTTCTAATAAAATAATGGATCTGTGTAATGATCGTCCAAGGCTGTTAAAACATTTATGTGAAAGCTTGATGGGGAACTTTATAACAGAGGGATCAGGCTGATACCACTTGAAGACACAGATTATTCTAGTATCACTGACAATGTGGCTCTCAGTCATGTGCCTAATAATGTGATATGGTAGTATAGCCCCACCTCTGAAGTAGTTCTATCAAAAAAAATTTTTTAACAAGAATCTAGTTAAATATCTACATGAAACTATCAGTTTACTGAAAATACAGAGGGTGAAGGAACAATTTCATGTTAGATAATACACAGAGAGACAACCAGTCAAATCCAGAACGTAGGATCATCAGCAGGATAAATGACCTGGCTTCTCCTATAAATGAATGAGATGAAAGGGTGGATTGATAACAGAAAAAGATGACATAAGAGACATAACAACAACAAACATGTTTTTTAATATTTCAGTTCCAGAAGTTCAGTTATTTTCATCAGAAAGACCATTTAGGAATTTCAGGGTGCCTGGGTGGCTCAGTTGGTTAACGTCTGCCTTCAGCTCAGGTCATGATACCAGGACCTTGGGACTGAGTCCCACATTGGGCTCCCTCAGCAGGGAGCCTGCTTCTCCCTTTCCCTCTCCCCCTGCTTGTGCTCTCTCTCTCTCCGTCAAATAAATAAGTAAAATCTTAAAAAAAAAAAATAAAGACCATTTAGGGGATCTAGTCCCCCATATTGCCAGAAACAAAAGTCCAACTGACTTTTTAAAGAGATAAGCAGTTTGCTTTTCTTTGTGCTTTGCTACCTTAGTCTTTTAAAATAGAAATAGTGTGCATACCCCATTATAAATTTGTTTAAATTGCTTAATCCATTAAATATTTTTTCCTAGAAATTATGTATAAATCTAATTTATAAATCTATTTTTATCTTAGAAGAATTAAGGAAAATTTTTTTAAATTTCAGCTTTTTTAGTAAAGTAATAATTTTGCCAAATAAAAGATCTTTCCTCTTAGTTAAGTTTTGATTTGTATGTAGTGAGTTTTCTCAAGTGACAACAGAGACATACCATTACCAAACAAAAATAAAAACAAAAACAAAAAAACCTGTCAGTGTGCCACCAGAGTCCTCTGCCTGCCAAGAGCATAAGCCACTGGAACTTACCAGAACATCATTTGACCTAGGTCATTTACCCCTTTTTTAAGGACATTATGAGGATTAAGTTTGTAACATTTGTAAAGTCTATCAAGCAATTCTTTCTACCTGGTTTTTCTTCTTATACTTTACCCTAATGTTCTGGATCAAAATATATACTGATTTCTCTTTGAATATTTTTTTCACATTTCATGTAGAATTCTTCTTCAAAGAATTAAGGGAAGTTAAGAATCTTCACAGTTATATATTGCTTAATACTATCTATTATAATTGTTTGCCTCTCACTGGGGGACCATTTTTATTTGGTGTTTTGCCTTCCGAGAAGAAAATTTATGGAATTTCAGAAAAGCCAAATGACTAGAAATTTCCATCCTCCTAAACTTTAGTACTTTGCAAATAGGCATCTCTGATGTTTCGACTTGACACAACAAGTAAGAGTTTTAAGGATATCTCTTGAGAGGTCAGGCCTGAAGACCAATCAGCCCTTAACTCCCTTTATGCAGATAGTTTCTTCAGCCCTCACATCATTGTTATAAGAAAAGGAATCTGACTTTATCATGAATGTCTAGTATTATTCTTTTAGGGGAAAAAAAGGAAGAATTACTAACCTGTCATTGCTATTACTTAATTTTTTATTACACAAGAAGGTGTTTAAATCCGTTATTTCCTAAGTGGAACATTTTTTCTTTTATTGTGCTAAAATCTGTATAACATAAAACTTACCATTTAACTATTTTTAAGTGTATATTTCAGTGTGCAACCATCACCACCATCCATGTCCAGCATGTTTTCCCCTTCACATGCTGAAACTTCATACCCACTACACTGACTTCCCAGTTCCTCCTCCTCTCAGACCCTGGTCACCACTATTCTACTTTCTGCCTCTGTGCATTTGAACAAGTTTATTTCTAAGGACAATAGTTTGAAATGAGATCTGTGTAAAGAGAGCAGAGGTCAGAGTACAAGCAGAGCTGCCTTGTGTGGTAAGAAAGAACTGTGTGGTGCTTTAAGTTCATTATATAATATAAAGAAACAGTGTGCCGTCACTAGTACCATGTACTCACTGTGTTCCATGACATTTATTATAGGCAGAGAATTTTTTGTGGGCCTTTCCAAAAGGACAAATCAACGAGGTGCTGAAATCTTGGCCGATACTTTTAAGGTACGTAAAGTTAGATCATTGATGTCTGGCATAGAGTAATTAATAAATATTCATAAACACATTAAATCAGCATGTCATGAATAATGGTATCTATATGTCACCAGCTGTGCAAAATAATTCCTAATATTTGTACATTTGCTAGAAGTTTTAAGAGCTATCATATTTAAATTTCTCAATAAATAGGCTGCATTGGGCGACCATAGCCGCAAAAGACAAGGTTATAGACATCTTCTGTTTTCTCCCAGTGTATAATCATATAGCCACCTGGCAGATTTCCTGCAAAATAAATGACTTCCAAAAAAATCTGGAGACCCAACTGACTCAAACATGAAACATGGATTTTTCACAATGGAATCAAGGATCACTTGTACTTAGTACCTACTATGTGCTGGAAACTGGGCTAGGTATTGCACATACATCCTCTCAAGGTCCCTTTACTCCACTGATTATTAATCAATTGACTCACCAGACTGCTTAGGAAGCTCTTTTCCCGTTGAGGACATGAGGCTCTATTTTGCACAGGATATTCAGACATGGCCTTCCAGAGTAGCCTACTCCATGGATCAACCAGCAAAGCTAGCCGTTGACACAATCACACATCTGGAAGGAGGCTCTCTACACTTTCTTCTTAAAAGTAGTCTTTATTGGGGTGCCTGGGTAGCTCAGTCAGTTAAGTGTCCAACTCTTGATTTTGGCTCAGGTCATGATCTCAAGGTCCTGAGATGGAGCTGGGCAGGGAGCCTACTTAAGATTCTCTCCCTCTACCCCTCCCTCTCCACCCTATGCAGTGCTCACTCTCTCTTAAAAAAAAAAAAAAAAAAAAAAAAAAAAAAAAAAAGCAGTCTTTATTTAACTGGCAATACCAAAACCTACAGGTCCCAGTTTTTCTTCCAGATATTCAGGACCCCTGGGAGCCTCCCTAGAAATAGCCATGTTTCAGGCAGGTTTAAATCAGTTTTAGAATTATTCTGCAATGCCAAACTGCTTGTTTCTATTATACACATAGGACTATGCGGTCTCCACAGTCCCGGTGGTTGATGCTTTGCATTTGAAGAGTTTCTGCAGCATGGCTGGGCCTAATCTAATCGCAATTGGATCCAGCGAATCTGCGCAGAAGGCCCTAAAGGTAGATACAAAACTATGCTCCTTCGAAATGCAGCAGGCAATGCCTGCCATGTGGTTTTTCTAATTCTGTCTACTGGGTGGGCAGCAAGCAGGAGTGGCAGGATGAGAACAGGCTGGTACTCGAGCCTTCTCAGATCAACACCATTGTGACCAAAGACAGAAGCTCCTCTCAGGCAAAAAGAGGAAATCTGTGTGCTCCGGGGTGCGCAATTAATTTTTTTGCCCTTTTAGGTCTTTACTCATCTACCTCAGTGCTCGACTTGGTGCATTTTGTCTCAGAAGAAATCATTGCCTGCCAATTGCTGAGTTCCCCCACCCCGCCTGCAACTTCTTCACCCAGCGCTCCTGGCCTTTCCATCTTCCTTTCCTCCTACTGTATCTTTGATTGTATTTCTAGGACCTTTAACAATTGTTGCTGAACAGGCTGCCTCAGAATTTGAAATTGGTGGTTTTTTTCTATGTTTCCTTTAGAGAATGTCTTTTGTTCTGCTTCATCTGGAAGGCTGTGTCACTTTCCACATATAGGAAAGGTGGTGTCTTGAAAGAAAACATTTGATGGATGGTATCACTCACAGGATCTAGAAGGATTATTTTTCTCCTTGGGGACTAACTGTGGTGTCTATCCGTGTTAGCTGGGTTGGTCAGTACATGTCTGAAATTGAGTTTAAGGGAAGGAAAGGGCTGAAGCTGGCCTATGCTTTGCTCTTGTGTTAATTAGCAGATGGAACATCCTCTGGGTAGACAAATTACAAAAAGTACCTCCATCTGCCATTCTGAGTAGACTAGATCCCTAACTCAAAGAGCTTGGTCCCTAATTCAGATAGGTCCCTAACTTAAATAGTCTGGAGAAACGAACATGTAACAAACTAAGAGATAATACAATATGGTTAACTAACAAAACATTATGTGAAGTAGCCCTGACTGCTATTCACAGGATAGAGTGGAGCTCTTTGAGGGCTAGATATTCAGAGAGAACCTCATGGACAAAAATGGCGCTAGACATGGGTCTTAAAGGGTTTGGCAAGGCGGGATTCCGTGAGACCGGGTTCCAGGTGGGAACACAGTATAGACAAAGACTGAACCAGATAATACATGAGATTTGAGCAAACTAGCCCAACCAATAAAGAATTTTCCTATGGGCTCCTGGAGATATGGCTGGATGGAGGGATGGAGCAGGTGAAGTCCGAAGAGGTGTCAACTTAAAAGTGAGGAAGAAGATGAGTTTGTCTCCATGAAGCAGGAGTCTGGGCTTCTGAACAGAGGTCTGTATTGCTTTAGAAATGTTGGACCACCATTCCTTTAGAAAAAAAGAAAGAAAGAAATAAGGGGGAAGGTGCTGCAATCAGAAGAGGACCACTGATAACCTAGGGAATAAAAGCAAAGCCCCAAGTCCCGTTGTACGCCTTGGACTCACTAACATTTCTCCATTCATCTTTCCCATCTCATCATCAAGTCTAGTCCTCTAAGATCACATCGTTTAAGGGCATCCGGTGTGGACTTTATAGTCCTCCTTCCTGTAGAGTTTATTTGAGTTAGGGTAATTAATGATGTTCACTCTATACTTGAAACCTTCTGTGTCAGAAGCTATAAATAATCTTCACTTACTGGAACAGTATTCACTCTTTGGAGGTCATATTTTCCATCAGCAAATGTGCTTCCTAAACTATGGGCCCGTAGAGTTGGCAAATGCCCACCTACCATGTTTCTAGCATCAAAAAGTTCTCTTACTTTGTAGTGAAAGCCGAGGAATAAACTGAATGGAAGAATAATGAGATCTCCATGCAGCATGTTCTCAGGTCAGAACTAGGTGGTTTGCTGAAATTCACATTTAGTGAGCTGAACTGTTTATGTATTTGAGAACAGTTTTGGCTCTTGTATTAGAAAATTCAATAAAAATTGGTAGTGTGGTAAGTCCTACTACTAATTTGGAGATAATAAAACTGATATAGGTAGGCAGGAAGACAAATGGATAGAGACAGATCACTTGCACATAGTGAACATATATTGGTTTTATTTTTTCCATTTTATAGATGAAAATACTGAGATCTGATGAAACACAACGTTTTGAATACGATCTTCTGGAATCAGACATCCTGGTCCTTAATTTTCCTCTCCCCAATTGCCCACCCCACTCCATTCTCATTCTTTTTCAATTGGAAAGATTTTCCCAATTATTTTGCTATACATTTGTTTCATCTGAGCTTCCTCTTTTTCCTCCCCTTTCTCTGACTATCCACCACCTCTTCCCATTTTTTGCTATGGTGTCCAGGATCTGACCTGTGAGGAAAGATGTGAGTTTGTCCCAGATGCCTGTTTTTCCCTTGCAAATCTTGATGTTTCTGTAGAGAAGCCTGTGGCCACTTGGGCATCTTTTTGAAGGGCATAGCATTTAAATGGAGGTGAATTGTGCCTTCCTGTGCCACACCCTGAGAGCTTGAATACTTCCCACATCTGTCACTACTTGCTGAATATTTGCCTCCTTCAGAGCCAGAAAGCTACTTCTTATATATTCATGCAAAGCTGAGAGCCCAAGGGTTTCTGGATAGTCTTATTGCATTTGAAACACTTTGTAATGGGTTGCAATCGATTCTTGGTTAATGAAGTGGGATGTTATGGAGATAGTCATCATACCTGTCTAGGTTGTAGTAGATTTAATAGTGTGTGCATTGTATATTTAAATGAAATCATCAATCTAGGAAGACTTTAGCAACTCTCTGCTGAAAAGCCCAGAACACATTTAATACAGGGCACATTTAACACACATTTAATACAGAGTATATTTAATGAAGGGAAGGAAGAAAAGAGGACATATTATTACTGCATTTTACTGTTGATAATGGCCAAGGTACTGGAGGTTAGGTTGATTTGAACAAATACCTAAAGACATTTAACATCAAGTCTTATCCTAGAAATACTATTATCGAAGCAAAATCCATCTTCAGAGCAATCTGTCCATTCTATAGTTTTCCCCCCACACTTTCCATCATTCTGCGCATGACTCTAAGCATACCTTCATCCTGCCCTTCTAGCTATTAAAGAAAATAGTGTAAGATTAATTAATTCTTACACAGGCAATAGACCTACTAGTACTCTTGCAAAAGGATTGTTTGCCTTCTCAAAGATGATAAGAACTCCAGTTGCTGCACATCTGCAACTGCTGGTCACAAACATAATTTGAGCAAAAGAAGTCAATCACGAAGAAATACATATTCTTGGGCGCCTGGGTGGCTTAGTCAGTTAAGCATCTGCCTTCAGCTCAGGTCATGATCCCAGGGTCCTGGGATCCATCCCCACCCCCTCATCTCATGGGGCTCCCTGCTCAGTGGGGAGTCTGCTTCTCCCTCTCCCTCTGCCCCGCCCCCTCCACTCCTGCTCTGTCTCTCGATTTCTCTCTCTCTCAAATAAATAAATAAAATCTTTTTTAAAAAAATTTTAAAGGTAAAAAAATAGAAATACATATTCTATTATTTCATTCATTTAAACAGGAGACAAAACTATGCTATCAGCAGTCAGAATAGTGGTACTTTAAGGAGTGAGGGAGTCATGGTCCAGGGGGCTGCTTTGTATGTTTAATTCTTAAAGTGTACAAAAATATGTATATAATGTATTATTGGAAGTGGGCCAAGATTAACTTACATAAATAATTTTCCAGTAACAGGGTCTAACTCTAAAACCCCTGCTTTACCTTCTACATGATTCCTGCCTTTACTACAGACTAGGCTGTTTTTTATTTTATTAACTAAGAAAAAAAAAGACAAACTTTGTACCCCTTGAGCAACATCTCCCCATTTTCCCTCCCCGCTAGCCCTTGTACCTTAAATATATACAAGTTTTAATTGTCAGTTATACCTCAGTAAAGTTGGGAAGGCAAAGGCACGGCAAAGAGTAGTAGATTTGCACCACATCCTATCCATTTTTTCCTAGATCCATTCCAAAATCGACTTCCTTTCCAGGAACGTGGATTAATTACATGCTCTCTGTCATAAGAAGACAGACTGTAATTCCTGCCCTGTGGAGGGACTCACTGTATTGATTTTTAACTCAATCTCCTTGGTAGCATTCAGTCCTCCAGTCAGTTAGGGGGGAAAAAAAGAAAGGAAGGAAGGTGGACAAAGAGAGAGAGGCAGAGAAGGTGGGAAGAGATGGAGGAGTGACATTTAGCTAAAACTTTCCCCAAACTAATCAGAGGAGGCAGCTCCAAGCTGGAGGGGCCGCAGTGCTGACAAGCTGGGGGGCTGTGCCATCTGCCGGCCAGGCAGCAAGGAGAGCACCCTCACCTTCCTAACCCCTTGCAGAAACCAGTTCTTTTCCTCTTTTGGCATCTGCAATTTTGTTTATTGGCCTTTTCTTAGATTAATAATTCTATTCTTTTGTATCACAAAGAATTATTATTTTAAAATGCTTTCGATAGAAGTACTGAAAGGATGTGGTAAGAAAAGAATTATGAGATCACCACTCCTTTTTTTTGTCTTTGTCACGTAAATGGAGCTGAAATCTAGTAAGTGGAATTCCAGGAGACTTGTAATTTTAAATTATGATGCTCATAATGTATCTTGATGGAAATGTCTTTGGGTTTCTTATCTACTTCCTGAAATAACTAGCTGCATTTGTAAGATTCCTTGAATGAGCACATGGGCTGCTTTGCAGCTAATTTAAATTCCATAGCACAAAGCATGTTTTTTCTTTTGAATGACTAACTATATAATAGAGGTCACTCAGACACTATTTCCTCTCATTTTTGACTCAGCTTCAGCATTGATTTTATGTCCAAAAATGTCCATGTTATTTTATAGATGGTCATATAAAGAAAGAAGATGGAAAAACCCTTAATGTGTTTGGATTTTGTATGTTTTTTTATTGCCTGGAATTTCCTTTGATGACAACTAGAACAACAAATAGCAAAAACCAAAAGACAGAATGAGAGCTAACTAGTATCAACGGGGTGGTTGAAATGGAAAAATAAAGACTCTGCATTTCAAGTTGTTGTTGTCACAGGGAATT